AGAGAGAGAGAGAGAGAGAGAGAGAGAGAGAGAGAGAGAGAGAGAGAGAGTGTGTGTGTGTGGAGTATGTACAGATGTGTATGGGTGGGAATGCGTTTGTATCCGTTTCTTCGTTGTATACTCGCACGCATCTAGGCATGAGAGGGGGTATTGATACGTATATGGGTGTATATGTACGTATGATGTGTGTATGTGTATGTAGATACTGGTACGTCTATGTGTACGTATGTGTGTATATGTGTACGTATATGTGCAGATGTGTACATATATGTGTATTTGTGTATGTAGATACTGGTACGTGTAAGTGTGCGTATATGTGTACATATATGGGGATATGTGTACGTATGTGTACGTATATATGTAGATGTGTATATATGTAGATGTGTACGTATATGTGTATTTGCGTATGTAGATACTGGTACGTGTGTACGTATGTGTGTATACGTGTATGTATATAATTGTACGTACATGTGCACATATGTATCTATGGACAAGGACACTATTACGTCCATGAGATACTACATGTCTTGATCTTATAGCTCTTATGCATAGTAGGCATCCCTTCACGTGCTTGTCTTGAAGTGAAGTATAGCCCTCGAACAGAGTGGCAGGAATAGTCCATTGATCTAACCTTTCTCCTTCTCTCCTTCTCTCCTTCTCTCCTCCTCTCGTCGTATCTCTGCGCCAATACGGACCTCTTACTCACCGCCTGACAACTGACTGTGGATCATTGGTACCCCGTGTCTTTCTCTTTGGACACCTTTTTCTTTGTCTGTGTTTTTGGAATACTTTGTCTTTGTTTTTTGAATACTTTTTCTTTGTTTTGGAATATTTTTTCTTTGTTTTTGGAATAATTTTTCTTTGTTTTTGGAATACTTTATCTTTGTTTTTGAAATACTTTTTCTCTGTCTATGGACACATTTTTTTAATCTTTGGTTTCCTTTTTCTGTGCCTTTGATATTCATTCATCTCCGACATGTCGATTGGCTACTGACGGGTCACACAGCCAAGTGGCAGAAGTTAGTGCAAGAAAAACCGTTGGAGACTATCAGGTGCGTTCTACGTAAACTATATAATGTGTAGTGTACACCCCTGAAATGGGTTTTTGCCCTCGAATGGTGAGTATTGAGTATTGTGTTTGCCCTCGAATGGCGAGTATTGAGTATTGTGTTTGCCCTCGAATGACGAGTATTGAGTATTGTGTTTGGCCTCGAATGGAGAGTATTGAGTATTGTGTTTGCCCTCGAATGGTGAGTATTGAGTATTGTGTTTGGCCTCGAATGGTGAGTATAGAGTATTGTGTTTGGCCTCGAATGGTGAGTATTGAGTATTGTGTTTGGCCTCGAATGGTGAGTATTGAGTATTGTGTTTGGCCTCGAATGGTGAGTATTGAGTATTGTGTTTGCCCTCGAATGGTGAGTATTGAGTATTGGCAGGTGTGTACTACGGAGAGAAAGCTTGTATTTTCAAATCTATAAGATGAGAGAGTTTATCTTTCTAGTGCCATATCTCTAAGTATACGGAGAGAGAGCTTATATTTTTAAATCTATATCTCTATCTATAAGATGAGAGAGTTTATCTTTCTAGTGCCATATCTCTAAATATACGGAGAGAGAGCTTATATTTTCAAATCTATATCTCTATAAGATGAGAGAGTTTAACTTTCTAGTGCCATATCTCTAAATATACGGAGAGAGAGCCTATATTTTTAATATATATCTCTATCTATAAGATGAGAGAGTTTATCTTTCTAGTGCCATATCTCTAAATATACGGAGAGAGAGCTTATGTTTTTAAATCTATATCTCTATCTATAAGATGAGAGAGTTTATCTTTCTAGTGCCATATCTCTAAATATACGGAGAGAGAGCTTATGTTTTTAAATCTATCTCTCTATCTATAAGATGAGAGAGTTTATCTTTCTAGTGCCATATCTCTAAATATACGGAGAGAGAGCTTATGTTTTTAAATCTATATCTCTATCTATAAGATGAGAGAGTTTATCTTTCTAGTGCCATTTCTCTAAATATACGGTGAGAGAGTTGTTATATCTATATCTGAATCTGTATCTTTATCGGCGAGAGAGTTTATTATATCTATATCTGTATCTGATTTTACGGTTTATATTCTATATCTTTATCTCTATCTTGACGGATAAAAAGTTTGTATATCAATATCTGTATCTGTATCTTTACGGTGAGAGATTATTGATTTCTACATCTCTGTCTGAAGCCGTGCAGTTGATAAGCCACACAGTCAAGTGGCAGAGGTTAGTATTAAAACAAATGGTAGAGACTTTCAGGTACGTTCCATTCAATGGTGCGTTTGGGATACAGGCTGTATTGTTACGCGAGGTTACCTTACTGTGACTGCAAATAGCATTCATTGGTCAATTGTTGATATTTATGTTTATGTATATATTTGTACACATATACATTGTACTATTGTATTTCTAGTGGAGTAGATTCTTATCCCATTGTATGATAATACATAGCATTCAATTTGTTAGATTATATATATATATATATATATATCAATTGGTGTATTCGAAGGGGAGTTGATGCTTTCTTGATGTGTGATGATCACAAACAATTTGTGAGTGGAAAGTCAGTGATAGTAGGTATTCGTTGACCAAAAAGAATATAAATTCGTACTGATAGCCGATCTGCATCGTACGTTTACGTTTTTAGATCCGAACAATAAGTTAGTGGAATTATAGTAATAATAGATCTTTTCTAATCATTATATCTTTACGAAAGACGTTTATTAATCTTACTGATCGCACGTCTGCCTAATACATATTTCGCTTTTACGTTTTCTGGTCCCAACATGGTCATAGCAAATATACTAGTTCCACAGTTCTTATATGCTTTGTACGTTTTCAGGTCCAACAATAACTTGCTGACCGTGCGGCGGTTATTCTACGGTTCAAAGTCACGCAAACTTCTCAAAGAGGGCGACCTAATGCTCGTATGTCAGGGTGTTATATATGTGTGTCTTGGATGTATACACATGAACGCAGCTAGGTTTGCCTAAATTGTATGTTTGGGTTGGGTGTTTACTAGGTTATGGGAATGCATGGAAAGAAACATGTATACGTGCACCGTGAACATGTATTCATATA